ATTTTTAATCTTATAATGAAAATTACTTTGCATGTTGGATAGCCAACATGTGAAAAGAAAAAAAATGGCATGAGAAAAACATTGCTTAACAAATCTTAAGACTTAATAAAAAAAAATATATATATTTTGCGAATAAAAGCACTGTAATGTTTACTGATAAGCTGCCAAATTTTGTTAACATAAGAGTTAATAAAACAATAAAATTATATATATTAAAGGAAAATGTGTAAGAAACAAAATGTTTTGTGTTGATGAAGTTTATCTTGTATACAGTATCATTTTGAGTAAAATCAGCACATAAAATATTTATTATTAGAAAGAAATGAAGTTAAAGACAACACGAATATGTATGTATATCAGAAATGTGAACTAAAGATGAAAGCACATAGTGATGTGCACTAAAGAAATTGAAATATTGCCATTATGTTTTTTTATTAGTTTTTCATAATCAGTTCAAAGTTCAGTTTAACTTATTAGTGCTGCAACTTATGAAAATTGAAATTAATGTTTTCTGTTATTACTATTTTTGATTATTTTGCCTATTCAAGTCTCATGAGAATTCAGAATAATTAACCAATGGGCCTGATGATTAAACAAATTGCAAATTTTACTAATCCCCCACCTCTGATTGTAACAATAGTTTAGTAACAGTAAGATCTTTCAGTGAGTTTTGCCTTTTTGTTATTTTGTTTAATCTGTTATCATAACATGCTACAGATCACAGTCTAAAAATATGTACATTTGTGTATTTGTGATTGCTTTAATTTTAATATAAAGATACTCAGGTATTCTAATATTATGAAATACTGACTGGAGTACCCTAGCCATATTATACTGTTAACAAAAGTGACTATAATCTCCAAAACAAGTAGTTCCATTCAGGGTTTCATTCTTCAGGACCAACCTTAAGCTGTTTGGCTGTAACAAGCTTTAAACTTTTAAATTTGTTCTATGCAACAATGAATAACTAGAAAACGGACTCATGTGTGCAGTAATGTTTACACTGATGTTGATCAGTCATACAAAATTAAAACAAATGTATATATCATCAATGAAAATATAAAATGTAAACATAACTGATTAAGTTTTATTGGGAGCAATTTTCTAATTAAACTGGTTGAGCCAAATGAAAAACAAAAACCATTGTATGAAGTTTGTGGTTATTTTCATTATAGTATAATATGTCAGTTATTCATTTAAGTTAAATTGGCACCTTTGAAGTTTGAATGTAACAAATACCACATAAAAACTCGTTTACTGTGTATTTTACAAGTATATGCTCTGTTTTTTCTTTTGGCCATAACTATCTTGACAGGATAAAATTTAAGTGCCATTAATAACTTCCAACTCTCTAATTGAGTTACCTTTCTAAATGGATAGAAATCAGTTAATGATAGTGATCTCTTTTTTTTTTTTATTAGATAATGCCATGTTTGTAAGTTCATTTGCTAGCCAGAAATTCAAAGATAGTTCTAAACATTTAAAGGGTTGTCAGGCAGCATTTTAACAGTGACAGATTTTTTTTTCTCTTGCTAACAGAATCCTTGTTAGTTTTAAAGTATATTTGTACCACTCTCATCTGTTACTTGTACAAATGCACTCAATGATATTTCTAATTCTTCACTTATAAATCATTTCATAAGCATCTGATCTTTCATTACCATAGACAGTTGCTATGTTCATACAGGGAAGAAAATATAGTATTTACCATTATATCACTCAGTTACAATTTTCCAAAAAGAGAAGAACACTCATCAACCAAAAGAACCAATAGGGATATTAATGACCAAGACAACTTGATAAACTATTTATATTTTGTAAGTACTGCAAACAGAAGATGCTGCATCACAGGATTTGCACTCAATAGCTCAAGTTTTTGTTGCAGTATTGAACTCTTCTCTGTTTTCTCATTATCATCAAAAAGCATTTTCTATTTCCAATATGTTGCAAGTCCACATTCTACAGTTGTTCTTGATAAATATTCTCATGTTGAGATTATGTGGAAACAGTCATAATGGTTCAAATATCTTCCTTTCTCATCTCAACAAAAATATATACAGACCCAGATAAACTAGTTTTTCTGAGCTTATTAACTGAAATGTTACATGATTAGTATGCATTGAATCATTTATTCATGTATGTAGTGACATGTCTAGTATGATGTATCATGTTTATTCAATTTGTTTTTCTATATTGTTACACAAGTGAAATATATAAACTTTAACTGAAATAGTAATAATTTACAAAATAATTGTATGAAAGTTAATCATGTACTTTCTAAGTAGTCAGTCAGTATTTATGAATTCACATTTTAATATTATGAATAAAATGGCTACTGACAGTTCCAGCATTCAACAGCATGTGACAACAGCTACAGGAGCAGCATTATCGGTGGAGAAAGTGTTGGCTGTAGTTTGGCGGGAGATGGCTTCTTTCACGTGGGCTGAGGGATCTCCTGATCTACAAGCAATTCTGTGATTACCTGAGGTCTTAGATCAGGATAATGAGGACTTGGACAGCCTTCCTCCCCTTCCTTTGCTGTGCAGGCATGTTCTCAGCCTGTTGAAGCATCTAGACCTCAGCCACCATTTTTAGACTTGATATGCCAGTTATGTTGTGTGTCATTTTATCACCTGTCATTTGATCCCTCCCCTTCCTTATTAACTGCAGTACCTAGTTCTGAGTTTTAGATTTTCCCTCTTCACTTGATATTGGTGTCCATGACGAATGTTTTGCAGATCAATTATGTGCGGGGGTTAGAATGCCACGCTCCCATGTACTGGAGAGGCTCATGCACTTGCCTATTATTGTTCAACAAATCCTTGGGTCATTCAAATTTTGACAGAAAGGCTTTTCCTCACACCTCCTACTGTATCCCCTGTCCCTGTTCCTCCCCTACAGGTTTCTACTGTGCTTTCAGGATTCTATTCCTGACTTTTTGTCATCCTCAAGAAGACCTGGTAGTGGTGTTCTGTTTTCAATCTTTCCTGTCTGAATCACTTCCTTGACATGCCTCAGTTTACCATAGAATACTACCTATCTCTCAGATGGGCCTTTCTTTCAGGGCTTTGGATGACAATATCTGATGTGTCTGACACTTATCTTCACATTCCTATTGTTCAGGATTCACGGCATTAACTATGTTTTGTCCATGAGAATCACATTTATTAATTCTGAGCTTTTCCTTTAATGCTAGCTTCGGCATTGTACATTTTCTGTTGGGTGGTCCAGTCATTTGCCCGATTTCTTTATTTTTATTGGCTCAATTTTCATCTTTATATGGACAACTGACTTCTGGCTCTTCACAGAGTTTTCCAGAGGAGGTGTTTTATAACTTGTAACTCAGTTGAGTTCAGCCTTCTCTTCTTTGTCTGCGAGTCATGGAGTTTTTAGTTCAGAGGGCACTATCAGCACCTTCTTTCCCTGTGTGAGAGTTTCTGTCTCTTCTGGGGACTTGGGCATCACTGAAGGCTCTTATACCTCTGGGTCATGCCCACATGCATTCCTTGCAGTGGGGACTACAAGATTAATGGTACCTCATCAGCGACCTTCTGGATTTACAGATATCCCTTCCTGTTTCCCTTCAGTCCAACATCCTTTGGTGGTTAGACAGGGGCAACATGACAGTAGGGGTACCTATTCCTCTTTCCTGACAAGATATCCACACCTTCGTATGCAGATGACTCTTTGTTGAGATGGGGTGCTTGCTGCAATACACAGGAGATCTTGAGCCATTAGTTTAGGGCAATAGTTCAGTTTCTGTCATGTCTGTGAGTCATGACAGTTATGATTCCTTCCTGCATTCAGGTAGGATTGGAAGAACTTTTCCTTTATACATACCCTCCCATCTGTCTTCTATCCCAACTAATTTCTCTCATCCAATCTACTTCTTGTGACTCCTTTCTGGCAAGCTGAACCGTGGTTTCATCTCTGTCCGTTCTCCAGGAACTACCTCCATTATCTCTCCTTGTCCCTTCTCCACAACTTCTCTCAGGGGTGCTTCATCCCTCCATTTCCATACTCCAGCTTCATATGTAGCTTTTGTCCAGTCTGTTTGTGAGGGGTTAGGGATTATCCAGGCATGTTACATCCTTGTTGTCCATTTTTCATCCATGTCTGTGTATCAGCTTGAGTGGAGAATATTCTGTCGTTGGTTTATCCAACATGGATGCTCCCTTACCTTGGATATATGATTTTATATGCTTTTTTAACATGGGGCTGTCTGTTTCAATCATTGCAGGATTTGGGGCTGCCATGTCATCTAGCTTTCATTTTTCCCATCTCTGCTGTATGTTTTTCTCTAGTTATTTCTCTTTTATTTCTGTCTGTGTGTTTCCATCGTCTTCCCCATACCACTCAATTGCTAGACTGGAATCAAAATGTTGTTTTTCATGCCCTTTTCATTTCTCCCTTGAAACCACTAGCCTTATATCACCTTTCCTTGAAGATGTATTTCCTTCTCCTTTTGGATTTTGGATGTTGTTGTTAGGTCTTGTTTGCCATTGATATGCACCGAATTTTGTACCACAAAACCTATGCCCTTTTATATCCCAAACATTCCTTCCATCCTAAAAACATCAGCTGCCTGTGAAGGTGACTTTGCCTTTACCCCTATTTTCCTTCCTTCTATATCCCATATTTACTGTATTTTACAGCGTATAAGACACATTGTTTTCCTGAGAAAAGCCTCTAAATATCATTCTGCATTTAATGTGTGAAGTTAAAGAAAATGCATCTCTCAGTTTTGCTCCCCATGAGCTAACTTTTACCTAGTCTTCCCCATTCTTCCCAGACAACTGTATATTAAAATATAAAGATCAATCTACGTAAAAGTATATGATTAATCTTATAATTAATGAAAAAAATTTCCTAAATATACAAATGGATTTATAATAGATAATAATAATCCAAGACAATTAGTGTCAGTATAGCTAAGCAGTTCACCTAGTACTTCAGTTCTAAGCAGTAAGTGTTTGTGAATTCTCATGAACAGTACTATTTCTTACAGTTCCTATTTGCAATGTGTAACAGTTCTTAAACTGTTCATTATGTGCACTAGAGAGCAGTCAAACTGAGAATAGCTGTGACTGTGAGAGGAGGTAAGAATCTATTTCAGTGTAGGAAAATATTAATTTTTGGTGTGTGAACAGATAAATGTTTTAACCTACATTGTACATATAACTATTGAACAGCAGAAAAAAAAATTGATAACCACTTATTCCTAGAAGTGTCATCCTTAAAATAAAAACATTTTTTATTGTTTTCACAATGGAGTTAAAATTCATCATGTTCATATTTATGGATAAACTCTGCCCAAGATTGAATTAACTAATTTTTTTAACAGTCTTACATCGGTCCTAAAGGTGACCCCATCGCCACACCATCTATTTGGTCATATAATTGATCGTTGAAACTGAAGCGGTTGTCCTTGAGGGTGAGATTAAGCAATTCCTTGAAGTGTTGGCAATTAAAAGTTGTGTATTTTTCATGATTGTTGGCAAAAATTTTTTTTAAGATAATTTGTATGGTTTCCTGGAGTGGGATGTTTGTAAATATTTC